GTACTTAAATCCTGCCCTTAATCACCTCCCAAAGTTCATTGTGAGTTGATTACGACTCTCAGTGATGTGATTAAATCAGTTGACATCTGGCAGAGCAGATTACCTTCTATAAAGTACTCTAATATAATATAGTAAACTAATTAGTTATTCAATTGACATCATACCAGCGTATGGTAGATCCTTAACCAAATCACTTCTTAATTATAAAAAGACCAGAATAAACACAGATACACACACCCATGGGGAAAGACAGGTGCCATGTGAGAATCATCTACAAGCCAAGGAATGCCAAGAAACTACCAACAAGGAAGCAATCAATACAGCCAAGACCCTAATTTGAACTTATGGCCTACAGAACTAAAAAAATAAATTTCCTTTCTGTAAAGCTACCCATTTGTGATATTTGTGGTACAGCAGCACTAGATACTAAGATGGGATACTGTTATGGGATTAGCTAACATCTTGGTCAGTGGTTGAAACCCACCAACTACTTATTGGAAGCCCTATATAGGGTCACTGTGATTCTGATCTAACTAGCTATAAGTCAGAACTGACTTGATGGCACTTAACAGTAATAGGTACTCTGACACAGAAACTTGGATCTCTAGAAAAGATTAAAAGTAAGGTAAACATAAATGCATTTTTGTTATCTTGAATAACTCAAAAAGATAATTTACCCTCTAGAACAAAAAAAAAAAAAAAAAAAAAGAGCTCTGATAAGTATAGTGGTTACAAGTTGAGCTTCTAACCTCAAGGTCAATAGTTTGAAACTACCAGCCATTACATGGACAAAAGATGAGGCTTTCTGCTCCTGTACAGATTTACAGCCTCAGAAACTCTATACAGGGTTGGTATTAATTGGAACTGACTCCACAGCACAGCACTACCACCACCAGAGCAAAAATAGCAATGCTTGTGGATTTAGCATCAAAGTGACATGTATTAGAGCAACAGGAGAGACTACTTGGGAGTGAACTGTTTTAAATTTTTTATATTAACACATGAAGTGATGTAATATTATTTTAAGATAGTCTATAAACTCTGGGACAACCACTAAACATTTTAAATAGAGATATAAATAAGTCAATAGTGAATTAAAAAAAATTGAATCTTTAAAAAAAGCATAAAAAACAGAAGGAAAAATAAAACAAGCAGATGAAACTTAAGGAAAATAGCTAGCAAAATGATAGCAATGATTATATTAAATGGTCTAAAAACCACAATTAAAAACAAAGGATTACCTATATTTGGTTAAAGAAAAGCAACACTCATCATACTTTTAAATATAAAGATATATATAAAAGTAAAAGGGTGGAAAAAGTTATACCATGCAAACACTCATCAAAAGAAAACTGAAGCTGACTTTACAAAGAACCTTTTGTTGTATAGAATATATTCAGGATCATAAGATGAACAAACACAAAAGAATTAAAATCATACAAGCAGGATATATGGTTGGTCTTAAAGATGGGCATCATTGCCTCAAGATGTGATACCCTTTGAAGGACAACTTGTCAGTCATCTAGTATTTGGACTGGTGGTAGGTACATTTGAACAGTCTCTAAAGAGATTGAGCATCTCAAATCTTCAAATATTTGGTTCTTCTCTAGTCCAGCAAAACTAACTAGTAGTCAGTCCATGTGATTCCAGAGCCCATTTCTGTAACCACCAGACTCTTAAAATTAAAATTAAATGATTTATCAAATTTTTAAAAATGACGTGAACATTTTGGGGAGATGATGCCAATGTGCCATCTAAGACCTTGATTCTTACTAAGCCTCTAGAAAAGCCATGACTTCTCAAGTGACTTTTTTCTGGGTTTGGAGTTACTTTTTTACTTTTTATTTGGAAGTCATTTCATGATTATATAATATAAAAGTTGCAAGAATAAGAAGAGTACATATATCCTTTGCTCAGATTTACCTTAGTGTTAACATGTTATCCTAGTTGTTAGCTGGTTAGGATATTTAAAATTTTTATTTTTGGTTTTTATTTTTCCTTTTGGTCACATGATAATGTGTTCTAAAGAGTCTTTAAAACTTGGGAGAATACTTACATGCATTTGTACTAGAAAGGTCTTGAGTCCTATCTGGTGTTGTCAAACAGGAATGCAAACAAAATGACATCGTACCATCCCACCCACAGTCCACTCTACTCAGCTTGGTTCAGTAATTCATTGCAGTGTCAACACAGAACTCAGTTATGGGGCATATTAGGGGAGCTAACAAGTTACTGTATGCTGAAAGAGGACTTAAAATATTTACTGATGAAGACCAAAGACCACAGTCTTTGGTGTGGATTGCATCTCAATGTAAAGAAAACAAAATTCCTCACCACTGAACCAATAAACAACATTCTTATCAATGGAGAAAAGATGGAAGTTGTCAAGGACTTCATTCTTCTTGAATCCACTATCAACACTCATGGAAGCAGCAGTCAAGAAATCAAATGACATATTGCATTAGGCAAATCTGTAGCACAAGACCTTTTAAAAATGTTGAAGAGCAAAGATGTCAGCTTGAGGACTACGGTGCGCCTGACCCAAGCCATGGTATTTTCAGTAACCTCATATGCATGCGAAAGTTGAATAGTGAATAAGGAAGACCATAGAAAAATTGACACATTTGAGTTATGGTGTTGGAGGAGAATATTGAAAGTGCCATGGACTTCCAAAAGAACCACAGATCTGTGTTGGAAGGAATGCAACCAGAGTGTTCCTTGGAGTCCAGGATGGCCAAACTTCATCTCTCATACTTCAGACATACTGTCAGGAGGGACCAGTCACTGGAGAAGGATATCATGTTTGGTAAGGTGGAGGGTCAGAGAAAAAGAGGAAGACCCCCAATGAGATGGATTGGCAAAATGGCAACATCAATGGACTCAAGCGTGACAACAATCGTGAGGTTGGCCCAAGACTGGGCAGTGTTTCGTTCTGTTGTGTATAGGGTCGCTATGAGTTGGTATTGACTCTATGACACCTAACAGCAACAACAGGTAACAATATAGGATCAGAAATGTTCAGGATACAGTTCTTTTAGACAGGACAGCCTTTTGTTAGCTTTGCCCATAGGCAGGCCTTTTTCTGCCCAGCCAATATTGCAAAGTTCTTTTAGGGCTACTAAAAAATGCCCACAGGACACACCACTCCACCATAAGCCTCAGCCTGAAGGCACTCAGGTGTAGCTCTGTGGGTCAGCAAATGTAGTTCCCCTAATTAAGTGCCTGGAGGGATCTTGGGGTCCAAAGAACAGGCTCCACTCCTGGCTCTTTTTCTTTGATGGAACTGAGATCCTTCAGTCCTGCTTCTGAGATATGACTCATTTTATATCCGTGTTAGAGTTCCACGTTTTTACAGCCACAGTTAATTAACTTTGTTAACCACTCACAACTGAATCATATCATCCTAGTAGCTTCTTCTTTTACCTTCTCTTATCCAGACCCAACAGAGCAAAAAACATTGGTGGAAGAGCATATAAAGTAATTCACTGCACTACAGGGACTAAAGAAGATCGTGTTCCTTGATTAAATTCTACTTAAGGAGCAGCCTTCCTAAGTTACTGAGCATTCAGACTGAGAGATGAACAGGGTATTTAGAAATATGTTGATAAAGTTATTTTAGTTGGTGAATTCATTGTAGAGGTCCAAACTGAAGGAGCTCTGGTGGCGTAGTGGTTACGAATTGGGCTGCTAACCTCAAGGTTGGCAGTTTGAAACTACCAGCCGTTCCACATGCAAAAGATGAGGCTTTCTGCTCCCGTAAAGATTTACAGCCTCAGAAACCCTGTGCAGGGGTCACTATGAGTCAGAACCAACTCCACGGTAACAACAACAACATCTCCTATTCCTCTTTGTAGTAAGTATGCAAAAGAAGAGTTTTCCTAGTGACTCAAAATTAGTGAAACTACATTCCTTTGTAAGATTTGAAACTTAATGTGTCAGGACCTAAAATTGTTTTTGTGCTTAAAGATTTCTGAAGTGGTGGTAATCAGGACTGGATTATCAAGGACATAAGACCCCCCTTCATTTTTTTAAGAATAAGAAAATGTGAAAGGATATTAAGATCGTAGAAATAGAAGTTCCAAAAAATTAACAGTAATAGTATTGGAGTATGGTAATGTAATTCAAAGTGTGGAATATTCACATAATTCACATCCATGAATTTGAATGATTAAATCTTATAAATATGACTCTAGCGACATATAGAAAGGCTTGTGATATAATATGGAGCAATCAGAAGCTACATTTCTTGTATACTCTAATGGTAACTAAAACTACTTGTAATAAAGAATAAGACCATTAATGCACTCTACTGCAAACAGAAAGGTTGGAGGTTCAGAGACATCTCAGAAGAAAGGTCTGGTGATCTGCTCTGAAAATCAGCTCTGGAAAACCCTGTGGAGCACAGTTGTACTCTGGCACACATGGGGTTGTTAAAAGTTGGAATTACTGAACAGCAACTTTTTGAATAGCTACTTTATAGAGGTAAACATGCAGGTAATTTTTCCTGCTCTGCTCTTTTATCTTTTCACTAATTTTGTTATATAACATTTGTAGTCCAGAACAAATTCATTAATTTTTCTTTAAATGAAGTTACCTGAATTTTGAAATTTCATCAGAATTCTTTGGTTAGCAATTCAGAAATCTATAGGCAGGCTGTTTAAGACAAAGGCTTAGTGAACTGCTTCCATAAAGATTGCAGCCAGAAGATCCGATGGAGAAGTTTTACTGTGCAGCACATGGGTTGCCATGAGTCAGGGACCAACTTGGTAGCGGCTAACAAAAGCAACAGAAACTGGGCCTGTGTGAAAATTGAACCTATAGGGAAATGTATTCTGTGTAATCTCCCTGGAAGACCTCAGAACCCAACCTACTTTGCCTTCTAACTGCTAGTTTCCCTCTCAGCATCTGTGGATTGGACTCTGCTTGTTTTGTTTGTGTTTGAACATTCCGTAGCATCTGCACTGCTGAATCTGGAATTGTCTTCTTCTGTCTCTCTCTAGGAAACGCATTTTCAGCTGAGCACCTCAAGCTTCAACTCCAAAAGGAATCCCTAACTGAGCTTCGGAAGGAGTGCACTGCACAAAGGTGAGCCCCCAACACTGAGCACTGTGTCAGGAGTATTGTGATTACTGTGGGCTTCAGAGTGGGGAAAGTAACATTCTTTCAAAGCTATAGTCCACACACCTCAGTGTCACATTTATTTATTGAGTGAATAATTATTAAGTTCGTACTGTGTGCTATGTAGAGTCCTGGATAGTGTAAACAATTAATGTACTAAGCTGCTACCCAGTATGTTGGAGGTTCAAATTCACTCAAAGGCTCCTTGGGTGAAAGACCAGATGATTTGCTGAAAAATCAACCTTTTAAAACCCCCCTGGTGCACAGTTCTTCTTTGACACACTTTGGGGTCTCCTTGAGTTGGAATTGGCTAAATAGTAAATAGTTTTTATGTATTGTTTGTACGTTGTGCTAAAGACTAGTTATGAGAGCTCTGAGTATTTAATTATTGTCAGAAACATGAACCTAGCCTTCCAATTTCCTAGGTCTTGGCACCATGGCTAAAATCTTTGAATCTTCTCTTCCTCCCATCTTCTACATGCATTTTAGCTTATTGTTTTCCTTCAGGTTTATTCCTTCTTCTCATTAGCTCATTCATATTATTTCAGCAGCTTCCTTTACCATCAGTTCTCCATCTTTCTAGTTCATCCTCCATATTGCTATTGGACCTCTCCACTTAAAATACTATTTTTTAACCATGTGTTTCATCTGCTTAAGGAGCCCTGCTCGTGCTATAGTATAATCAGTAGTATAATCTCTGGACTGCCTACCGTAAGGTCAACAGTTCAAACCTACCAGCCGCTTTACAGGAAAAAGATGAAATTTTGGCTTCTGTAAAGATTTACAGCCTTGGAAATCCTATACAGGACAGCAAGATTTAGAATCTACTCATTGGTAGTGGGTTTGTGTTTTTTTTGTCTGCTTAACTGATGATTCTTTTGCTTAACTTTCAAATACTCTTCAATAAATTGGTACTTTGCAACTGTAAATTAGTTTTATTCTCTCCTCTCTATTTATTTAACAAATGCTAATAGTTGTTCTTTTGCTAAAGATAATACAAAAACAGCTGCAACCATACATTGACAGAGAACTTCTAGAGGTTCAAGCCAGATTCAGAAGAGGACTTGGAATGATATTAGATGGATCTTGGCTGAAAGCAGAGAATATCAGAAAGATGTTTACCTGTGCTTTATTGACTATGCAAAAGCTTTTGATTATGTGGATCATGACAAGCTACGAACAACATTATGAAGTATGAGTATTCTAGAACACTTAATTGTGCTCATGAAGAACCTGTACATAGACCAAGAGGCAGTTATTTGAACAGAACAAGGAAACACTAAATGGTTTAAAATTAGGAAGGTGTGTGCCACGATTGTATACTTTCACCATACTTACTCAATCTGTATGCTGAGCAAATAATCTGAGAAGCTGGATTATATGAAGAAAAACATGGCATCAGGATTAGGGGAAGACTTATTAACTTGTGATATGCAGATGATACAACCTTGCTTGCTGAAAGAAAAGAGGACATAAAATACTTACTGGTGAAGATCAAAGACCACAGTCTTCAGTATGGGTTGCATCTCAATGTAAAGAAAACAAAAACCCTCACCACAGGACCTGTAAACACCATCCATATAAATGGAGAAGAGAAAAGATTGAACTTGTCAAAAGACTTGATATTGCTTGGATCAACAATCATCATGGAAGCAGCAGTCAAAAAATCAATGACATATTGCATTAGGCAAATCTGCTGAACAAGTTGAAGAGCAAAGATGTCAGTTTGAGGACTAAGGTGTACCTGACCCAAGCCATGGAATTTTCAGTAACCTCATATGCATGTGAGAGTTGGATAGTGAATAAGAAAGACCATAGAATAATTGATGCTTTGGAGTTATGGTGTTGGAGGAGAATATTGAAAGTTTCATGGATTGCCAAAAGAACCGACAGCTCTGTGTTGGAAGAAGTGCAGCCAGAGTGCTCCTTGGAGGCCAGGATGGCCAGACTTCGTCTTTCATACTTTGGACATATTGTCAGGAGGGACCAGCCCCTGGAGAAGGATATCATGTTTGGTAAAGTGGATGGTTGGAGAAAAAGAGGAAGTCTACCAATGAAGTGGATTGGCACAGTGGTGGCAGCAGTAGGGTCAGGCACAGCAATGATTGTGAGGTTGGCCCAGGACTGGGCAGTGTTTCATTCTGTTGTGCATAGTGTCACTGTGGGTCACAATAATAGTAGTTCTCCTTATTTTTTATACCACATACTTGATTTGTTGCCACTTCTGTGCTTTTACTAGTCTTTGCCTACTTTTCCTGGAACATCCTCCAATCTTGCATCTTTCATCAAGAAACCTTAGTAATTGAATATTCAAAAATGGTAGACCTGGCAAGAGTTACTGAGACCATCTCACTCCTCTCATTTTGCAGATAGGGAAGTAGGGGTGTACTACAACTTTCCCATTTCACACTGACTTATAACTTCTCTAAATTTGTATCTTAGGTTGTTAATATAGAAGAGAAAGTAATTTGTTCTGTGGGTATTTTATCTATTTCTCATGTTTCTTAAATAGTATAAGGAAGGAGCAGGGTCACCTCATTTCACAATTTCTTGTTTGTTCTTTTTACTCCCCCCTTTTTTTTTTAACCTGACAGCAGATTATTTCTTAGAGGTAGTAAAAGATAGAATACTGCTTTGAGGAAATACCTTATATATGTTTCCTGGAATCAAATTGGTGTCATTAAATAGTGGTTATGAGACCTTGGTTAGCTTACTCAAGTTCATTAAATCTTGCTTCCTTGTTTGTAAAATGGTCTAGTAATATTACACCAACTTAATAGAATTGCTGTAACTATTAAATAAAACCATTTGTAAGGCACCTGGAATATAGCAGGCACTCACAATGATTGTTTGTACTCCATATGATGAACACTGGATTGCAAACCACAAGGTCTGTGGTTCCACCAGCCACTCTGAGAAAGGAAGATGAGGCTTTCTGCTCCCTCTAAGATTGACAACCTCGGAAACTCTGTTATACAGGGTTGATATGAGTCTGAATTGGCTTGACAACACTTAACAGCATCAACAACAGTATCTCTTAGCAGGTCTCTTGGCACACAGAGTACCTCTTAGCTTGATTGTTAACACTTGACAATAGGTCAGGACTCCTGGTGGTTATTATTCTTCTACTTTTAAGTTTATTCTTCCTCTTTATCTTTAAATGGACATGAATATTAGGAAATTAATGTTAAGAAGCATGCAAACTGTATTTCTTTGCCAATTTGATGCCTTTAATTTTCCTTTCTTGCCTTGTAGCTCTGATTATGACTTTCAGCACAATATTGAATAGGAGTGGTGATAAAGGGCATCCTTGCCTGGTTCCTGGGGATGCTTTCAGGTTTTCTACATTGAAAGTAATGTTGGCTGTTGGATTTGTATATATGTTCTTATGTCTTTTCTCTTTCCTTATTAGAGAACATTTTTTGAAGACAAATGCTCAGTTGACAATTCGATGCAAGCAATTATTATCTGAGCTTTCCTATATTTACCCAATTGATTTGGTAAGTTTAAAATTTTCTGAAATGATGTTTCATTTTGAAAAGATGGTTTCAGTTTGAAATTTCTTCCCAGTGAACAAACCCATTACTTTAGTCTTAATCAGATTTTCTGTCACATTCATTTGTTTTATAATTAGATATGGTTGGCCTCAGTTTTTTTCATTTCTTTCTTTTCTTTTTAAAATAACTACCAGTTTGGTGGTAGTTTCCCGTCATCTTCCTCTAAAAGAATGCCAAGTTATTTCTGGTTTTGCTTCGGCTCTCTTCAGTCAGCCAAATTATCCTCTACCTACAGTTCTGTTACAGAGAGATACATGCACTTACCTGTGTACTGCTTGTAAAATCTGAGCTTAGTCACTTACATTTATTAGTACTACTTAAAATATTCCTCGAGACACCATCAGGATGTTAAGTTTTCAAAGCTAGATCCTTAGTAAACACAAAAAGTTTAAAATTTGGGTAAAACTGATTAGGATTCTTTTTTTTTTTTTTTTTTTTTTTCTTTTAAGAGTATCAAATCTACTGTTTGATTGTTTTCCTTGATTTATCTTTAATGAAAATAGATTTAAAAGACTGATTTTCAAAGAGGAATGCTAACAGGATTTGAACTTTCTCAGAAAGTCTTGTTAAATCCACTTTGAATTTTTCACTTACAGATATTAATTGATCAAAACATATTCTTATGACAAAATTTTTACGTTTTGTTTCTTGAACATGGTATTTTAAATGTACATGCAAATATAGAAAAGGTGGTATAATGAATCATCATGGATTACTCATCACCTAACTTCAATAATTTGATAATGCTTTGAGTTCAGGAATTTAATATCTGAGTCAACACTGCACTGAAGTTTTTAAGATTTGACTTAGAATCTCTTTGACAGAGTGCTTCAGAAAGTTTGTGGGACAATGGAATTAAAAGATAATGGGATTTTTCCATGTTTTGAAGTGCCATCATATGTATGTATATGTTTTTCTTGGGCCCTGTTGAGTTGCTTTTGACTCATAGCAACTCTGCGTAGGGTTTCTGAGGCTGTAAATCTTTATGGAAGCAGAAAGCCTCATCTTTTTCTCACAGAGAAGCTGGGGATTTGAAATGCTGGCCTTGTAGTTAGCCATCCAGTGCTTATCCTGCAGTAGTGCCCCCAGTGCTTCATGAGTGCATGTATGTATGTGTGTGTGTGTGTGTGTGTGTATACACAAATGTGTATGTATATATGAACCTTGATGATGCAGTGGCTAGAATTCACCAGCTGTTTTATAGAGAAAAAATGTGGTAGTATGCTTCTGTCAGGATTCTAGCCTAGGAAACCCTGTGGGTCAGTTCTACTCTGTTGTATAGGATTGCTATGAGTTAAAATCGAGTCGACAGCAGTAGTTTTATTATGTGAATGTATAAATTAATATCATTTTTGGTTACATTCCAGAATGAACATAAGGATTACTTTGTATGTGGTGTCAAGTTGCCCAATTCTGAGGACTTCCAAGGTACTTTCTTTTTTCCTTCTAAATATTTGGTGTATACAATATGTGGGTATGCTGTTACAGAGGAGAAGGAGGGATATCTTAAAATGTTGGTTGCCTTGAACTTTCTCCAGAGGCTTTTTGACTTTGTCCTTTCCAAATCACAAGATCAGATTCCTTGATGAAAAACATAAAGGACATTCGGTCTGATCATGGTACAAGAATTATTTAATCTTATATTTTAAATTGAAAAGAAAACAGTTTTAAAATTAGCTTTAAGAAAACTGCATAGTCAAATTCTAAAGGATACTGATAATCCCTTTTTTAATTTTATTCCCATGAAAAATTTATGTGGTTGGGGCAGAAAAGCAACAAATATTTGTCTCTGTTGTTATTTGGGAGGTCATATGCCTTTTGACCTGAAAAGCATTTGTAAATTTAATTTTCTTGTACTCCCACTTCTTCTTGTTACATGCTGTCTAGTTAGTTCAGACTCATAGCGACCCTGTTTACGGTTTCATGGGATCATGATGGCTCTGTAGGGTAAGCACTGGACTATGAACCACAAGGTCAGTAGTTCGAGTCCACCAGCCAGCTCAGCATGAAAAAAATGAAGCTTTCTGCTCCTACAAAGATTTGTAGCCTTGGAAACCTTGTTAAAGGGTCACTGTGAGTCAGAATTTATTCAACAGCACTTAACAATAACAGCAAATAACGTTTCTGAGGAGCAGCTGATTGGTTTGAAACGTTGCCTAGTGCATATCCTACAAGGCCACACCAGGACTCACACTAGTACAGATTAAACTTCTACTATCATTTCTTTCCTGTTTTAGTATTTTAAATCTGCATTAAAGATGGAGTCCTGGTGTGTCACTGTGGGCTAATGCGCTGGACTGCAAAGTCAGTGTAAACTATAAGTCAGAGGTTCAAACTCACCATCTGCTCCTTAGAAACCATATACAGGATTGCTATGAGTTGGAATAAACTCAACAACACTTAACAACAACAGCAGCAACATTAAAAATATTATAGAATGTGATTCATAGTGATTCCTGTATTTTAAAATATTTTCTTTTTGTTGATCTCTTTAAAAACCTTTACAAATAAAACTTTTTGTTTGCCACATTTTAAAAAGCTAATTTTTGTTAGCAAAGTAAGTTTTAAACTCCTCGTCTAAACAATGTTTGGGGATATATTAGAAAGCTTTATCGATGATTTCTAAAGCTAGCATATTACATATTTCAGAAAAAAATGATCAAGAAGAAAGCATTACTTATTTTGTTCAGGGCTTTATCTCATTCATTTTCCTAGGAAGAATTCGTGTGTGTGTTGTGGTGGGAGGTGCTTTAACACATAGGGTCTCTGTGATTTGGAATTAACTTAACAGCAACTAACAGCAACATTTAAGACTGTTTTCCTTTTTTATCCATTTTGGCCCTTATACCTTATTTCAGGGTACCATGTCATCCTGAAGGGGTTAAAGCAGTGTGATACTGGGCGAGTGTGATGACCCTGGAGAGGGAAAACCTGCAATCCAGCCCTGATAACCTGCCTATAAACCATAGAATTGGAGCAAGTCTTGTCACCTTTAAACTGAGTTCTTATAGTATGAACATTTATGCCCTACCTGCCTTACATGGTTGTTTCGATATTAAATAAGATATAATAGTATATGGAGAACAGATACTATTTTGATGGTTAGATCAATTGGAGAGAATGTAGTTGACATCTCCAAGACTCATATTGTAGCCAGCAGAACTTTGGAACTCATATTGCCAAACTTCCATGTTTTGCAATCACATTCTGGCTTCCATTTCCTTTGTGGACCCAATACCAAACCCAAAATCCAAACCCAATGCTATTGAGGCAGTTCAACTTATAGTGACCCCACAGGGCCCAGTAGAGCTGCTCCATCTCGGTTTCAAGGCTGTAAATCTTTACGAAAGCAGACTTCCTATCTTTTTCCTGCGAAGCAACTGATGGGTTTGAACTGCCAACTTTTCTATTAGGAGCCCAGTGTTTAACTCACTGCACAACCAGGTCTTTGTTAGAGACCCAATTGTTAATATTGCTTATATGTTTTCTCTTTACTGGATCGTAAAAGTACTTGGAAGCTCAGTGACAATTGTAAGATAAGTACTGGACTACAAACAAAAGGTCAGCGGTTTGAACCCACCAGTGGCCACCAGTTCTGCAGGACAAAGATGAGGCTTTGTGCTTCCACAGAGGCTTGTAGCCTCAGAAACCCTATCTTTACAGTGTCACTTTGAGTTAGAACCCGCTTAACAACAACAACAATAAGAGTACTTTATGTGTCTTCTCTCTAATCCTCACAAAAGTGAGGAAGCCAATAAAAAAGGTGGTATAATCCTCATTTTTCGATGTGTAAAGTGAGAATAGAATGATTTGTTTGAGGCTACCAAGCTCTAGGTGATGGTCTAGCTGGGATTTGTCTAGCTTACATTGTACAATGCTCTGGTCAACTCCCTAAAGTGTAGAAATGTGTAGTGATGCTAGTTTTAAGTATAGTTGTATCATGAAATCTATGACTCATCTTTTCCCTCATTCATTCAGTTAACAAGCATAAATTCAGTACCCTGAGCCCTGTGCCTGGTTCTGGGGATACAGAACATTCACTCATTTAAAAAAAAAAAAATGCTTATAAAGCATCCATACACCATGTGTTCTCTCCCTTTAGCCTTTTGAGGAAGACAGCGAGAAAACAAGTCTTAGTAAAGGAATAAATATGCTATCATACAGAACAGCAGTAACTTACTGGAGAAAGATGAGGCTTTTTGTACCTGTAAAGATTTACAGCCTCAGAAACCCTGTACAGGGTCACTATGAGTTAGAACTGACTCCACAGCACATAACAACAGCAACTCACAATTGTGGAGACCTGGTGTGGTGCTGTGGGTTAATGCGCCATACTACAAGGCCATTTGAGCTGCAAGGTTGGCAGTTCAAACTCACCAGCTGTTCCTTGGAGACCCTATACAGGGTCGCTATGGGTCAGAACCGACTCGACAGCACTTAACAACAACAACTCACAATTGCCACCACTTGTCTGTTAGTTTTTCATACTGTGATGGCTTGTATGCTACTCTGATGCTGGAAGCTATGATACCAGTATCAGAAATACCAGCAGGGTCACCCATGGTAGACAGGTTTCAGTGGAGCTTTCAGACTAAGACAGACTAGGAAGAAGGAGAAGTTGACTACTGCTGAATGTTTAACAACTGAAAACCTTATAAATAGCAGCAGAACATTATTAGGTTTGGTGTCAGAAGATTAAAACAGTATGAAAAGCATCAGAATATTGTTGAGCATAGTGCTGGAAGGTGAGCCCCTTAGGTTAAAAGGCACTCAAATCACAGCTGGGGAAAAGCGGCCTCCTCAAAATAGAGTTGACCATGATGACATGAATGAAATATAGCTTTTGGAACCTTCATTTCCTGATGGAGCACAACTCAAAATGAAGAGTGACAATTACAAATATCCATTAATAATCAGAACATGAAATTTATGAAGTATGAATATAGGAAAATTGGAAATTGTCAAAAATGTAATTGAACTCATGAAAATTGGTATCCTAGGTATCAGTGAGCTGAAATGGACTGATATTGGCTATTTTGAATCTGACAGTCTTGCGCTAAACAGATAATTTCAAATGGCAGTTCAAGAAGACAAAGTCTTAGATTAAGGAAACAAAAAGGGAAGAACATGCTCAGCATTTCTTAAATTGCAAGAACTGAAGAAAAAATTCAAGCTTCAAATTGAAATATTGAAGGATTCCATGGGCAAAATATTGAATTTGATGCAGAGAATATCAAAAGAAGATAGAAGGAGAGACGGGTAGGAAAGGCTCCTCAGTAGAGGCACAGAAAAAACAAAGAAGGCGCTTTCCTGGAGTAGTGCCAGAGTTTTAGGTCTTGTATAAGGTGTTGGTGTCAGTTTCCCACACTCACATGTGGAGAAATATGACTGTAGAAGCAAAATACGGTGATTTCTGAATCAATCGGGACAATTGATTCCCTATAGAACCCCTTGGCCTGGGCTGAGACCAGAGGGCAGGGCCACAGCCAAGCAGATACAGTGATGCAGCACTAAAAGCTGCAGAGCTGTGTCTGGAAAAAGAGGTGCAATGCATTTTTCATTTTTCCTTCCTCCTTGCCCCGGTCGCACCCTCACTACCCAGCCTAGACAGCTTCAGGCAGGTGGGAGCGCACCCCCAAAAGGGTCCACAGTTTTCCCATGGCACGGGGAGAAGGTTCCTGGGAGCCCCATTGGTCCCGCAGGCTGATTCTTATGACGTCTGACTCTGGGACCCAGCCCTAAAGTTGACCTAGGCAGGACACTTTATCCCTGCCTGCACAGCAAAGGCTACTGGACAGTCAACTACAGTTTTATTTTTGTTTTTGAGTGGTGGTTTTGTCTCTGCTTTAACATTGTTTCTGTTTTTGGTCTTTTTGGTCTCTTTTCCTGGGAGTTGGAGCTTTCTCCCCCTACCTTACCCAAGAAGAGACAGCAATTGTGCTCATATAGCCAAGCTACAAGCATACCCCATAATATTTCACCATCTGGACAGGAGCCAATACCAGCTGCTAGGCAATACACGTGAAAAGGGAAAGCCTATCTCCATAACACATCCACCAGGAGACACTTGGTGAGCTTAACAACATGGCAACATACATTCATTTAAGCATAAAAACCCACATAACTACTGAAAATGTCCAAGAAAACAACAACAAAAAAGCTCAGCACATGTCTAAAAACAGAAAAGAGTAACTGAGACAAATGAGCTGGAGACAGACACAGACTTCCCAGTAGAAGAAGAGTAGGCTTTAGATCAGCCGGAGAAGGAATTCAGAAGAATGATATGGAAACAAATTGAAATGCTCAACAAAGGGGTGGAGGAAAATAAGGAAGAAGTCAGAAAGTGCTACAGGAGCAATCAAACAAGATAGATATAGCTTTGGAAACAATTCAAAACCTACAAAAAGAGGTCCAGATCAGATGATTAA